ACATAAATGCATTTTGTGACAAAGCAGAAGCTGGCATTGCTCTGAGGCTTCCAGGTTTACAATGACAAAGCCAGAAGGCTCTGTCTGTAGAAGGGGAGTGATCTATGCAAAAAACAAAAATAATAATATATCTGAGAGGTAAGGGACCAATAAAAGCAGAGCAAGTGGGGAAAATCCTTTGTTTATCTATTGCCCGTTGTTAAGGCAGAGCTCTCCAATAGCTGGAAATTAATTGCAACAACGGCAATTCAGTCGCCAGAGTTAGCAGATGGCAGATTTTTCAGCTCCAAGTGTCTCACGAGGGCAATTTTACTTCAAAAAGGAAGGGTGAAGAAAGCACCCAGCAAACATTACACTGTCCAGAGAGGTCCAACTTATTAATGGGATTTTTTTCTTCAAAAAATAAAACAATCAAGATGAATTTTTTTTATAGTATAAACAACACCAATTCATTCCTTTTATGGAGGATGTCCATTATGAATGTCATTCTCACGGGGGAAATAACCTTGAACAAAGGCAAGGAAAATTAAGAAGAAGGAAAAAAAGCTATTCGTACAGAAGACCCCAAAAGGGGGCTCAGTGAGAAAAAAGAATTGGTGCCGGTCAGGGTGAGCGGCCCCAACGCATCAGCATCAGACATTTACCTGTCCATTTCACCGCAGGACACAGGCCAGGAAAGCCTCACGGGAAGCCACGACCGAGTCTTCCTCGCCACGCATTTGCCGAAAAACAAAACAGCGGCATCATTTCATACCGTATTTATTTAATAACTAAAATTCACAAATAAAAAGGTACTTGCAAAGTCCATTTCGTTGCGTTGTCCCGTTCTCCATTTTACTGCTTTCAGACCCATATGTGTAAAAAAAAAAAAGAAAAGAAAAAAGAAAAAAGAAAAAAAAAGGGTTTGGACTTTTTTTGTTTGTTTGTTTTAATTATAACGGTTGTTATGATTGGTCAAGTGGGAGCTGAAGCACCAATGGAGAAGATGCTTGATGGAGATGAGAATACACCCCCCCTCCCCGGCCTTCCCACACACGTTTTAGGAGAGCGGAAGGGAGATGTGCCAGTGCCTGGACTCTTCTGCTCCCATTTTTTTAACCCCACCCAGAGCAATCTTTGTATTATTATATGTCTTCTCTCAAAAGTCATTGACTGCGTGTATCTTCTCTTACATTTCCCCCTCTTCTGTCCCTGCAGGACTGCATACGCACGGTGAACAGTGTTCCTTTTTTTTAAAAAAAAACTCCTCTAGGCCATGAGCCAGGCGCAAGTAGGTCCTGTCGCAGCTCAGACCTAATGTCGAATGGGTGTCTTTTCATTTTCAGGTAGGTTTGTGTGTCTTTTCAGAAGGCTGCCATTCATTTTGCTTCCTTACATTTTTCTCTCTCTTTCTCTCTCTCTCTCGAGCTGCTGAATAAGGCTACTCATATTCCAGGAACTGTTTGTGATAGAACAGCAAATATCTGTAAGAACATTTAGGGAAAGGGGGCGGGGGAGAAAGGGGGAGAATGATATTTTAATGTGATCCACGGCTGCTGTTGCTGCTTCTCCTCCACAGTCATTTTAAAAGCAGGACTTTTCTTATAATGCAGGAATGATTCCAAGGAGGTGGCTTTGCTTTGACACTCTTTCTTTTCTCCCCTGGTCATGCTGTGACACCCTAAATAATTTAAAGCCAAATGACTCATCATGGTATGTGCCCAGCTATTTTGGAGCGGCACTAGAATGCTTAATGCTCAAGAGTAAAGCAAGGTTTGATCTGGTTTGGTATCTAGAAAGAAGACCTGAAAGGCTGACTTAAAGCTAGAAGAAAGGTGATGCCAAGCCCACACAGAGTGAGGCCAATCAGACTGCTAAACCCAAGAAAGAGCTTCGTGGTACAGATTATTAGCCAGTTAACCCCAGGATTTCTCAGACTGCTGAGAGCCAAGGTATACTTTTTTCCCTGAAGAAAAACTAGGAAGCACAATTAGGAAATAATTAAGAAGGTTCACTTTTAGAAAGAGTAAGAATGGTCCCTCTTCAAAAAGGCTTCCTAAGTTTTAAATAAGCATTAAAGTATCTCAAAGACTTCAGGCTGACCCATCTAACTTTTAATCAGGCAGGGAGGAACAAATGTCAGGTAGACTTTTAAGATGAATGAGAAGACAGGTTTCAGCTTTTCATTTATGACGTTTGTTTGTCACACAATGACAAACATGGAGGCAACTCTGTATTTTATATGATGATGCTTCCTGCTTCCACCTATGCAGATCTGCAGTATATGGTTATAAACAGCAAATCTTTCAAAATACAGCTTTAGATAGTGTTAGGAATCATACACTTAACAATTTATGAGCCTTGGATTCTGCCGGAAGACAGACTACCCACCAGGCTAAGGATAACGCACAAAGCGCAGGCTTTCAACAAGACAGAAAACTAATATTTGTAGCATCAATTAAAGTGCATGAAAGTCCATGTGGAAACCAAGCATCTTTGAAGGAAAATACTGTTGATGACTGAGGTCAGAATTCTCCCATAACCAGCAAAAAAAGAATTATGGATAACAGCAAAAAATTAAAAAAAATTAAAAAAAATAACGTGCAGAATTATGAAAAGTGAGAGATATCATCCAAAAGTTTCTCAACTTCAATAATTTATGCAATTTGGATAACAGACCTTCCAGGCACTTTGTTAGCTCTGTTTGATGTTTCAAGCTGTGTTTGTGTTGGACAAAGCAAGACATCCCAAGGCAGAAGAGGAAGGTGGCAGAATCTCTGTTGTCGGCCCCTTGTGAGTCAGCCAAACTATTACACAGTGTTCTGTTTATCAGTTGGAATCACTAGTTTTTATTGTATTTAGGCAGCTTGGTTTCTAGCCAGCTTCACCCTGCCAGGCCCAGCTGCAATCTTGATTTATAGATTTCTCTCTGTTTTGACTCCTGTGGGCTGTGCTGCCTTTTACACATCACTGACAGGCTGAAGAGCAAATGATCAAAATTGTCTGTGTTATGGCTAAACAGGACGCTGCCTTCCCCCCCCCCCTCGTGCTCTGCCCAAGGCTTACCCTTCGCTGTCTAGGACATCCTTAATGCTAGCCTTGGTGATGATGGCATCGTCACATTTGAACCACTGGTCCTTGTGTTGCCGAATGAAGCTGGTATAGTGTCCGCTCTCCAGGGTTCCTTGGTGATTAACTACTGCAAACAAGGAATACCTAATGGGAAGACAAGCAGAGGCAGCGCCATCAGGCCAGAGGAGAGCAACTCAGCCCTTTGAGTGGCTGCCGCTCGAGTCTTTACAAAGGTGTGCCTAAGCGGGACGTGTCGACGGGCTATCTTTTTAAAGCCCTACCTGTTCAGAATTTTGGTTCACTAAGTCGGCCGGTATACAAATTCCATAAATAAACAAAATAAATAAATTTCTGGAAAGATGTTAGAGCAAAGGAACAAGTAACATCTTAAGGAAGCAGAGCAACTGGGTCCTGGGTACTTAATTTTTTGGGTAGGCATCTAAAGCAACCTGTCTGTCGCAGGTGAAGAGGACAGTGGGAGTGGACTACCTAGCTTGATGAGGCATGGACTACTTTTCTCTTGCATTTTGAAGTATTTAATCTACCTTGTCCAAGAGGAAGAACCCAGAAGTTAAAAAAGCAAAGAAGATAACATCACTTACTTATTATCATTGTTTAGACTATCTGCTGGCTGCTGATACTGCCCATTCATTCTGCTCTCTTTACTACAAGAAAACAAACACACAAAAATGCTCAGCATCATGAAAAGGACGAAAGGTTGCAAGCAGCCTACAAGGTTTCTCTCTTCCTGTTCCAAAGAGTAAGAAGGACCAAGTTAGTAGGGATTAACACATCTTCCTGTATGATGGGTACTTCTGGATGGGAAAGTAATGTTCCTCTAAACCAGGACAAGGACTTTGTGGCCCTCCAGATGTTGGGGGACCGCCATTCCCATGATGCCTCATCACTGGCTAAAGGGATTACAACTGATAGAAGTTGTAGGAGGGGCACAGGGCACCACACCATGATTTAATTAAGCCTGCAAAGCTGACAGCATCTGCCTCGGCACCAGAAATGGCTCTCTTCCATGATGTTTCAGCCAAACACTCCCATCAGCTCTAACCAGCCTGGTCAATGGTCACAGACTAAGGCAATGCAGGTCAAAACATCTGGAAGCCCAGAAGTTGCTCACCTCCATCTTTCAGAGAAGAGCTACTGTAGCATAAATGATACAGGAAGCCATATTATAATAGATACTTTACCATGTTACTGCCTAAATATTTTTTGCAATGTAACAGGTGGGATGGATGGGTGGGTTTATATAATGCAGCAATGTGTTTCTGTGTGGTTGTCTTGTGGCTGTGCACATGTAATACATTGTTTTGTTTCAAAAAAAGGAAAAGGCTGTTCATTGAGTTGGGAGCTACGACTGCTCCCTGCCCTTGGTGACCAAGTTAATACGGCCTGAAGAGAAATCAAAGGCCCAAGTCAACAAAAACCAACCTTGCCCTTAGTATCAGCCTACCATCATCCTGGATTTGAACCCATCAGTGTTGCCAGTGGAGCCAGGTGGATGCCGACAGCATGAGCTAAGGTGGCTCATTTTGACTCCGAGGACTGTTCTAAATACTGTGCAGTACAGAGCCAAAATGGTTCTCTTGTGTCAAAGACACACTTATGCAAACAGTGGGAAGCTGCGTCATCATAAAAATAAAGTGGTGTGGTGGTCGTCATTTTTTTAAAGTTCTCAAAGTTGTTTTTTAAATGTTCTTACATAAGTGAAAAAGGCTACAGATAAAAGTCCCTGCCATTTGGAAGTATCCAAAGGGACCCTGCCAGATGTTAGGCTGGCTCCGGAAAAGCAAAACGGTAACAAAGCTGGGAAAGATAAGTGAAATGTAATTGACACGATAAACTGTTTCAAGACATGCACTTCTAGTACCTAATGTGTTCACAATCTATGCATTGCTTTAAAAAAACCCCACACAATAACACTTTGCCACTCCTTGAGATAGAAAAACACTTCACAGCTAAGGACTGGCCTAAAATCATATAGAAGCATCCTCAATTAGTAAAATGCATGTTGTGTAAAACACACACACACGTGTGTTTTAAACCAAGGAACTTTGGCAAATCATTAATCAACATTTTGATATAGGAAACAAAAAATCCCAAACTGAAGGGAGAAAAATTGGTCCCAATAGGTCCTACCATGCGCTCATACAACCTAATTGGATTCTGATTTGTTTTCCCTGGCCAAAAATGACTGCACATGGTATTGAGTGTGAAAAGTACAGTTTTGACTAGTTTACACTCACTGAGATGTTTCTTTTTGTGATAGGTAAAAAATAATGCAGCAAGATGGCAATGGAGGGCTCCGTCCCTTCCAAAAATTCCTGTCCATTACCCAATCACAATGATGCTTTATATTTGGTGCTTTGTTAAAGACGCACGCCCCAGGAAGCCCTTTGTGCAGAGATCACCCATGACAGATTTCATAACGATCTAAGATTAAGGGGACTTCTACGTAAACCCTGAAGCTGAAAGGGGGAGAAAATTAATCCAATTCTTCCCTGAAAGGAAACTCTTAATTGCATTAGTCCTCTTTATAATGTCAAACCATCCTTGTTCTTTTCCATTAACATATTCTGTTTTCGAGTAAGACTGCTGGATTATTCTGTTTCATAAATGGCTGAAAATGATTGTTGACCTCCCTGTGTATTGAACAAGCAGAAATTGAGAATCTCACTTTCACTTCCTCAAGGCAAGGATAGTTTTGATGGGCCTAATAACTCTGCTCATTTGCTTTATTTTTATTTTGCAGCTTTTTCCTACCACCAACTTGAAGATATGAGCAAGCATCTCCTCAAGAGTTCTCAAACTATTACCTGTTTCTCCTTTGGGCAAAACAGAAAAACAACAAAGAAAATGCCTTGGTTGGCTAGATTTTAAAGTAGATTATGTATTAGCAACAAAAAATGTTTTTATATATTTAAATGACCAGAATGAAGTTTGTACCCTAAAGAAGGCAGGGAACTGAATTCGTCTCATTTCAGTCTGAGAGTATTTTCTACTTGGTCAAAGTTTTGAAATTAGTTGAAATTTAACTACTGTAAAAATCTTGTTACCAAACATATCATAACTGGTTTCCATTCGAAAAGTTAAGCACATGTGCTGTTCCACAGAAGTGGCTCCAAAATTGCTCCATATTTTTAAAAAATGTCTCATGTGAGAACGGTTTCCTGCAGGAATAGGCTTCAATACATACCTAGAGGCCATGAAGGGTGTCATGTCCAGCTCCAGTGGAAAGGAGACATATGTAGTGATCTTTCGCCTCAGTTTGGCTGAGTGTTCAAACCGCTAGAAAAGAGATCAAGTTGATCTTTCAGAGAAGACAGCTGTGATTGGCTTAACGTTCATATATCTCACACGGGGCGGGAAGACAGAATGTGAAAACTTGTGCCTTTCCAGATATGTTTGGACTGTATCTGATCTTTGCAAGAGTTAGAGGCCGGCAACAACTGGAGGCACAAGTCACCTGTTCCAACTCTAAAGAAAAAAGGAGGGTAATGCTCTTGTAGGAAATGGGACACAAAGGAGTAACCTTCATACAATATGCAGCATTATGCAGTGGTTCTGGGAAGAGAAAACACAGCCCATTCTGAGAAGTGAAAACATCATTTAAAACTCAGTTCCATATGAGAAAGCTTACAGATTAGCGACAGAGAACTGTTATCGTGCATAAAGACCTCTATCGTTAGACCAGCAATAGTAATCATCGTTTATCATTCGTGGAGAGCCCCGGCGCAAGCAAGAAGCCTTGCAATCCAGGCCTCATCTATTTTCTGAGCATCCAGGAGATAAGCCATTTGCTAGAGACCAGGCAATTATTTCATTCCAGATAACCACGGTGACAACAGCAGCACCAGCCTCCTGACAGATCGCTTAGGAATGAAACAGACACATTTGCTCTGTCATTCAGACATCTGTGTACAAGCTCCCCCCCCCCAATAAGGTATACTGACACGCAGTGTTCCGTATTGTAATGAAGCTTCTTTAGGAGAGTCTGTAGAAAATTCACGCAGCAGAAGTGTCAGCAGCAACAGTTTGGACAGACTGTCAACCCCTGGGAGCACACCCTTCGCAGCAGCTTGACCAGCGTCCAGTCTGATTGACCTACAATTCAAAATGCTGATCCTGGCCTTCAAAGCAGAGATGAGGAATGGGTTTTTGGCACAACTTTCAGAATCCCAAAGCCATTACGATCAACTGGAAAAATGTTTTGCATCTCTGCTTGGAACTGCTTTGGTTGAGGGTATGCAACGACTCTTCTCTACAAGCTCTGCGGGTCTCAGACCTCCAGAGTATCCCTTCTCTCTCGCGTGACCCATCAGCCGATCTAGCAGTTGTAGAGGCCTGACAATTTGGGGGGGGGAGCTTTTTTTTGGCTGGGTCAAAACTGTGAATTCCTTGCTTTGTGGGGGGTACAGCTGTCTCCCTCTCTCTTGAGTTTCCCATCTAGGTATTTTGGTTGGAACTGATAGCTTATGACATACTTTAAACAGAACGCTCCCCTTATTAAAAGATGTTCCTTCGTTTCTTATTTTTAAGGTTTGGTGCTGTTCTTTTAACCATTTTTGTTTGTGATTCAATGTGAGTATTTTAAAATACTATATCCATCTACTGTAGGTCCTACGACTGTAGTGACTGTAAAGCAAAATTAAAAATAATAATAATAATATATAGGAAAACTGATCTTAATAAAGGGAAACCCAGGACTGACCCAGGGATGTGTTCGCTTGTGTCAGTGTCAGTATAGGGGAAGGGGAGAGACTAAAGGGTGGGAAAAGCCAACCCACCAATATCCTATGCTGAAGGATCACATCCTGATAAGGAACAAACAGAAGGGGAAGGTGGGAAGGAAGAAATGTGGATGGATTTATTTCTGACACAAAGGGAAGTGTGATAAGCATCACGCTTGCATCATCCTCTCAGCAGAAGGCCACAAAAAGACGAGAACAGGAAGCAAAAAGACGAATTAACTACTCTTCAAAAAGACAGCACCTCTCTCCATTTCTCAGGACTGCTGTCTTATTTACAATCTCAGTTAATTATCCTCACCTTACAACACCACAAACATTTCCTAGCAATGGATCAGACTTTTTTTCCTTACAAAAAAATAATAATCAAGAACCTATGTATTCTTTTATATTTCTACTTATCTTTTTTTAAAAAAATTGGCTGCATTATTAACATTCTCAGAACATATGCTTTCCTAATGAATTTGATATTAGCTAAGCTATAAATAACTTACAATTTTATCATTGCAACAGCTGCTGGAATTTAGCAATATTAGTTCAGCACTGTTTTGATGCTGTTTTGTTGCATGCAATATTAAAATCTTAATTTTGAACATACAAGATGACAGGATGACTCATGGTGAGATACTCCCTTTACCTTTCAGTATAAAAATACAATTTCAGTTAGGAAAATAACTGAATTATTTCTCTCTGCCTGAGGTTATGAGCGATCTAGACATCTGCACAATAGGAGCACACGTGAAAATGAAAAAAAGATGGCAGGCTCTATACTGTGAGCTCTGGTTAAAAGTTGGAACATCCCAACAGCAAATACTGTTAACTACAGATGGGCACGAAGTTAAAAACAAACCATCAAATTCAATGAATATCATGAATTCGTTGATTCGGATCAGTTCAGGGTCATCCAAATTGGAGAACCCAAACTTTCCCGAACTAACAATTTTTTGTGATTTACGAACCTCCTGGTTTGCTGCTCCCCACAGCCTGTCCCCGCCCCCTCCCGCCTGCCCCCATCTGAAAGATGGGGACATGCCTGAAGCACCCCCTTCCCTCTGGCTGACAGGCCAGCTATTTTTTTTTTTTAAGTATGGGGCACTGCATTAAATGATAAATTGACTATTGAAGTCAAGATGAAAAGAAGGGAAATAAATTCCAATATTTTTATGCTATTTTGGGGTAGATTTGTTGAATTTGTATCAGTGAAAGGAAATGGGAAAAGCCTCTAAACAACAATCGATAACATTTTGGAAAGGAAGTAATAGAAAATATTGTTCAATGGGGTCCCAGGGGTATGGGGTGCACGGTAGAATTTAGTGTATAGTAAGCACTATTATTTGTATTTTTGTATTTGTTTTCTGTTTTAAAAATAATAAAAATATAAACTAAATAAAATGAAATAAAATAAAAAATAATTATTATTTTTGGGGTTAGCCAACCTGTCAGCCAAGCAGGGGTGCTCTGCATGTGTCCCGACCTGAGAAGTGGGAACATGTGGAAAGACCCAGATGGCCTGCAGGAACCAGTGACCTCTCAAGATGGCAGTGGTATCAGTGGAGGAACAAACAGCAGCAGGAAAAGGTAGGAAGGCAATGGGGGGGCAGGTTGTGTGGGTGGGGAGGTAGCCAGTGTTTTTTTGTTTTTGTTTTTTAAGACAGCCACTGAGCTGTCTAAAAAACAAAAAATTCCTGAACAAGCCAATGACTCAATTCATGGTTCACTCAGGAAAAATTCATAAGACAAGCCATTTCTAACTGTAACAAAATTAGGACCTTCCAGTCACACTAACTGGGAATATTGGCAAAACGTCTTCGAAGGGCTTTTAGACACCAATCCCAAATGGTTCATCTATTGGAAGCCAATGAGAAGCATGCCACGAAATGCTAATCAGAAAACTATTTTGTGACTACCCTACTGGGCCTGTACATTTACTCAATATTTACATGACCTGCTCAGTTAAGAGGCAGAAAAGTTCCAGGGACAGAAATCTCTGCCAGATGGGGAGCGCCTCCATCTGGCCCTGCCACCATCAGGCTTGCCATTCTGCCATCTAAGTTTCCTACCGGCAGGTATTCGGGCTGCAGAAGCAGAGTTGCAACTTCAGTAAAGGTCTACAACTCTTCCAATCAAACAACAAATCAAACAACAGTACTATTAACGTCAGTTCATGTCAGCTGCCCCCCCCCAGGTGATTTTAACTTTTAAAGCCCTAAAAGGTTCTGTGTCTGACTCACCTAAGCAACTCCCAGTCTTATTATGAACCTGTCTGGATATTCAAGTCTTCAGGACAGGCCTTCTTGAGAATACCTCCAACACCTGCAAAAACCTGCCTGGGAGTGGGGGGGCACCTACAGGGAAGGCTTTATTTTCTGCTGTTCTCTAACTGTAGAATGAACTGCTCTCAGAGCTGCAATCGATTCTACTTCCTCTGATTTTGGGAAGGATATAAAGACATATGCCTTTAAATTGGTCTTCAGAACTGTTTTTATTGCCAAGATGTTAATCATCTTGTTTATAGGCTAAGCTAATTTTAACACTTTTACGACCAAATTTGTTTATGTATTAGTTTTCATTCTGCTTATGAAGTCCATAAGCCATCCAGAGCACTACTACTTCACTGTGGAGAGGCGGTAGAGAAGTGCAATAAATAAACTGAAGGATGTTCTACTAGGTCTCTGGGTGGCCTGGCTCATACAGATTGTTGGGCCATCGATTCCTGTCATCTCTCACCCAGGTAGGGTGGCTAGGACTCATGGACTGCAGTCAAACAACGTCCAGAAGACTGTTAAGACGCTTAACCATCACAAGGTCCCTTCCCGTCTGGTTTCAGATGAGTGCTCTGAGGCCTCAGCACGCACGTCCTGGGAAGGCTAGAAACCACACAGACTAGAATGTGGTTTGGGTGAAACTACCGATTTCCCAACATGCTAAAAGTCACTCAGGCCAATTGAGAAAGATTTGCTTTCTCCAATCATGAACTTACTTTGAGATGAAAACAGGCCACAATAGGTAATTTCTTCATAGTAAGTTGTTTGGTAGATTCCTGGTAGCTATGGCAACCGCTACATTTGATTTTGGCACTGCTTCCTAGGTGTTCTGGCCTTGTAAACCTGGGGGAAAAACATATATTGAGAAAGATTTGTTCATACACATAATTTTTTTAAACAAAAAATAATAATGGGTGACTAGCATAGGTAAGTGTATTTCAACTGCACTGTCAGTTTCTGTTTCATACCTCTGGAGATGCTGTATTTACAGCATATACTTATGCTTGTTTATTCAGATGTTATGCAAAGTTAATAGTGCTTGATCCACAGTAATTACACATCGGATTCTAGGCTTAGTTTATTAGCAAGTTTCAACTGAGTACTGCTCCTCCTCTTGTAACATGTAACTGTTTCTGGACACCCATTTTTCATGTGTTCTAGAAAGAAAGGGGGGCAACAACACTGACAACACAGGGTGTTCGCACACATGATATAAAAAGTAGGTTACAGTCGTTATGGAGGCATCAACCAACAACACTGACCCTTGTGAAGCCACACTTCCTTACATAGGAAATCACATTTAAAACAAGAAACAAAAAAACCACACAGAGCCATCCCTTTTATTAGACAGAAGGAGCCTTCTGAGCTAATTTGGGGGAGTTTATCAGTCCATTCTGGATCAGTTGCCAACTTGGATGTTTACTGCCAAAACACCATCATGAGGAAAGAGAGACCACCATTTGGTCATCGACAAAAACAGGATATGCAACTCCTGAGTAGGTGGCTTGGGGAGTATTTTGTGTTTGCTTGAGCAAAAATAGGACTGTGGTAATAATAACCGCAATGCAAAGTTCACTTTGCTGGCAGAGCATTGCTTTGCCGCCCAACCAGAGAGTAGGAAGCTGGCAGCTCCATTGAAGACACCAATGTTTGAATATCAGCACTCTGAAAGAGCAGACAAGATGATGCACCTAATATTGTATATGGCTTTGTTTCAGAATCTCCTCTTGATTTACACAGCCTGTAGTCGGTGAATGGAGGACAATATACTTTTGTCTTACACAACAGAAAACATATCAACACATCACTATGAACACAAAGACTGGATCAAGTGCCTGAGAAGTTTAAATCAGCCTATGAAACATATGACACACCTACTCTATCCAGAAAAGATTAACTTGGTCCTGATTTGAGCTGCTTCTACATATATTCAAGTGTTACCCTTAAAAATATTCCCTTTACATCTAGTTTTGTAGTCACTTTTAGCCTTACTTCTGAAATATCACCTAATTTATGTCAGGAGTTCATATTTGGTGAAATCTTCATTTTCATCTTCGTACTTCTGATGTTACCTTTCCTGACACATGTTTCAAGACAAATATATATTATGAAAGCACAATCCTTTGTAAATGTTAAAACTAAAACTGTGCCTGACCTATAAGGATTTCAACTGCAGATGGGAGAATCTGCACACAACTAAACTCTCCGTACATGTTTCCTAGGAAGAAGGAACATTTAGTACAGAGGACCACATTTCATCACTAAAAGAGCCTGTAGAAGCAGTCTGAAATGGCACAGATCAAGTCGACCTGCACTGTACAAACAGGGCCACACAGAACTGATCTCCAAGCCTACACAGCTCTCGAGCAAGACTGGTTAACTCTGCTTGTTTGCCAGACTACAACTCCCCACTAATCTGGATCGTGGATCTGTTGTCAGGAGTCGGAATGCAAGATCTAGGGGAAGGCCACAGATTTCCCACTCCTGCTGAATGTTATTGACCTTAAAACCGTAGAAAGATGCACTTAGAGCATCTTCTTGGCATTTGTCATCACCTGCCAATTTTACTTCAAAAAGAACTCCCCTAAAAGTGGAATGGCTACTTCACAAAGCACACCTTGGAATCTGAAAATGAGATTATCCAATGTAAGGTCCTCCAAAACAAACAAAATGAGTAACGCAATAACACTTCCCACAAAGGTATATGTTTTAGGCAATATGCTATTGAATCCATCTTCTTGCTCACCAAACGTCACCGTTCACCTTTGCTCAAGTCTTGACTTTTTATTTTTATACTTTCGATGAAGGTTAAACAAGGAAGAACTTCCTGTATTGGGAGGTAAAGTCTGAAGGAAGCTTCCCCTTGTAGTTACTTCAGCACAGATAGAAACCTGTATCAAATTTCAAGACACGCATTACCAGGTTTCCTTGATGCCTGGAGGTCAGTGACTGATGGGGGAGAGATGCTGAAGTGGGTCTTCTCCTCAACCCCTCCCTTTTTTTGACCATCATGGGAACAGTAAGAATGCCTGCACACAGCTAATAGGGACTGGTTTAAAGACATGAGAATGAGGCTACATTCTCCCAGGATCATACGCTCCTACAACGAGCTTGCAAGTTTTTGCTTCTCTTTTAGACTAACTGCAGTTTGTCATACTGCCTGAACAAACTTTTCATCACTGGAAGGAAGCAAATTTTTTCCGTTTATGAAGCTTGCTTTTTTTCATTGACAATGGTTAAAATGTGATCGTTTGGAATTAGGGCTTAGGAAGCAGTTTACCTGGAGTGTGACTTGGATGACTCAGCAAGCTCTGGTGTAAATCTAAAACAGCAATATCAGCCTCCAGATTCCTCTTCATGATTTCTCACTACACAAAAGCCTGATTCAGCATTACATTAAAATGCAGCTGTAAGTAATGCCCTTCATTTGGGTGAACATTCTTCAAAATTTACTTCTACTCTGAAATAAAGCTGATACAATTTGAAAAGATCCTTATAGTCACCAGTCCAGGTGTTTGTACTGCTAGTATTCCCAAGTGGTCAGGCCTTCGTTAAATAACACTGAGCAAACTCATGGAAAGTCTGCTACTGAAGGGCCCAGTATCAGAATTTCTTCATTTAGGTCTGCAAGTGTGACAACATTTTGAATACTGTATTCAGTGCTGGCTGGCCATCTCAAAAACAGCTAACATAACACTGGAAAGGATACCCAGAAGAGCAACTAAAATAATATGGGATTAGAACATGTTCCAAAACAGGCAGGACTGAAGAATTAGGGCCTGGGTTTGGCTTTAGGGGAAATGGTGGAAGAACAACATAAAATTATAAAACTGCACAGACATAAACAGACCTGTCTCCTATTAGAACTTGGTAAATTAATGAGGCTGACTGGCAGGAGATTCAGAAAAGGCAGAAATGTATTTCCATTCATGTGATCCATAGTGAACTCTTGGAAGTGACAGGACGCAACGATGGCACCAGCTCAGATGTCTTTGGAGAAGATTTAGACTGTTTCACAGAAGGAGCCACAATAGATAAATGGTCTCACATGTTTAGTGCTGCTTTGAACAACAGATGCCGAGAACAAACCCCCTTTGCCTCGAAGCCTGTTGCAGGCTTTTCAGAAGCAAGGATGTGACCACTGCTGAGTTCAGAATTCTGGACTCCATGGATCCTTATGTTCTTAACTCTTGTGAAATTAGAACTTGAGGCTGGTGGAACTGACCTTGATTACTTCCCTGTTTTTGAAAAACATCCAAGGAACCCCTGGCAGGTGGCACAGCTCAAGAGGACATGGACAAGGGAAAGCGACATGTCTACAATTTAGGAATGTATCTTTGGAATCCAAGTGGAGATATGGAACATTTCTGACGAATAGAAGCAAAGAACTATTTGGTAAACACTCAAAAGTGGTGGGGGAAAAATCAGTAATATTGCCATGAATATTGATGTACCTTCACTGGTGAACCCAGGTATAATAATGGGCAAAACCTACACAAGAGAGTGGGAACTACTCCTTGGATTACAACCATGTAGACTCTGTTATGGGAGGTCAGCATATTGAAGGCCCTCTACCTTCAGACAAGCTGGACCCACCACCCTGTTCAGAGGTACGAAAATTTTGTGCAGTCCTCTCAACGTAGCTGTTTTGACGGATTCTCTGACAAAGATCTTCTGAATCTCTTCTGGTGATGTTCTCATGACAGGCAGGTTCCAAAGATATTGCTGCAGTAACAAATTCTATTGCTTCTCTTATCCACCGTTCTGTGGCAGTAGCGTCGGACAGAAGAATGGTCTGCCTACTTCACTGAAAGAACGAACTTCATTCACCATTACTTGTGTCCTTTCTATATCTGTCAACATCAATGAATTTCAACAGAACCAACTTTCCAAGGCAATTATCTTTTCTTCCATGAAAGAAATTCTTCGGGCCAACCGGCTGCATCTGAAAGTAGATGAGGTTATGGTACTTGCCTTTCTGTTCTTTTTTTCCAAAAGTGGTTGGTCTGCCACGTTCTCTCCTCCCCAGTATCATATCCCTCTCCCTGCCCTCAAAGACTCTTCTCCAAGGAGCAAGGATAGGAAGGAGTGGATGGCAGTCTGACACTCACGGATGCTAAGTATGCATGTCACAACTCACCAAAGTACACCTCTGAAGGGTCTGGAAGAGGAAATACCAAGTGCTAAGGTTCCGTTAGCCTTGGGTGTCTCTGCTGGTCATCCCCAGAGGGCCATGTTTTATACCAAATGAAGCAGTATCTTCTGCCGTGCTTCCTTACAACAGTGGATGACAGCATCGAAGCCTAACCAGAGCTAAACCATTAACGGAACTCAAGCAAGGACCCTTGTCTAGGTTACCTATCAGCTTCAGTCAGTTCATGCTACATGTTTAGTTTTGCTGTGGCCTCTTTTTCTGCAATTGAACTGAACTGCTGTGCAAGGTGATTCAGCAGATATAACTGCAGCTGAAGGGCTGCTTCACGCCTTGGCCATCTGCCTGTAAATTGCTTGTCTGCAGACAGGAGTAGAGAAGTTAAGATCGTCAATTTCTAAAGGCCGTCTGCCACAGTTTGTACCTTCGCAAGCAGTCTGTGAGGGTGGTAGTTCCTGACACATGGCTCTCCCCATTGACCACGCTGCCGTCACTGCCGGGGCTCAGAGGCCAAAATGGGGTAGAGGAACCTGGCAAGTCCAAACTGATGTCCCAGAATGGGTCTATCGTCGTGGAAACGCCACTAGAGAAAAAAGAGAGAAAAAGGATATGTTTGATTATAAAGCCTTATTTTGCCAAAAGAGAATCAGTGCTGAATTGTTCCATGTTGTTAAAAGTGTTCCTGTGCAGAAATGCAAATTTGGAGATGGAACATCCCTAGAAATTAACAGAGCTTGAGAAGTGTTCCAGTGATCTGCACCTACCTTTTGCACTCACTAATTCTATGAGCCAATCCTAACGTGTAAAAAACAGGAGGGAACACCCTCTCAATGCTGTTTTAGCCCCACAAAAATGAATGTAAGGGATTGGGGGAAGAAGCAGGTATATCACCTCTAGAGGGTGCTCAGGGTACAGGAGAGAAAAAAAACAACCCTTAGTCAAAAACAGCTATTTTCACAGGGGCAATTTCTTTCATGGATATATAAGGACATATGAAGAAATCAGAATTTAAGGGAATTACAGCAATATCCGTCTCAAGATATATAAACTGAAAATGGATATATAATCACTTAGAAAAAGTGGTCATGAGCTTCAGTGGTACTGATTCGTTGTGGATGCCGACCATTCCAAGTCTTCATTAAAAAATACATTTCTAGCTCATCAAATTGCCAGTGGTAACAGAACAGATTACCAGTGTGAAATGCAAGTTCAGAACTGATTGCCCATCATTGCTTCAAAATCAACCAAGAGATTTCGCAGGGACAGAATATGGCTCCCAGCCTATCTACGATGGAGCACAGTTAATAAACAGTCAATCCTAATCCACTCAGCCTCTCATATTGGCAACCATCTTATCCAAGGTATTCTACTTTCTCAAAGGGGAAAAGAAACCCATATAGAAAAATAGACTGAACTGGCAGCTGAACTGTACTTTAATGGCCACGGCTTCTGCCATATTGAGGGAAGCATCGCTTCTTACAGGACAAATTGTGCCAGCACCTACATCTCTGTCCTTCCAATACTTTGCTGTCATTCACTTGCCCCTGGAATTTCTCACCTGGAGTACCTATCTCTTTCTGCCTAACGACAGACTCACCCTGCTTGATATCCATAACGGAAGATCACTGGGATGTGTGATGTTTGCATCAAATCCAACGCAACCGGCATTTTCACTGAACTGGCATGCATTATGTGATCTGACCTATGACAACCTTACTGGGTTTCCAAGAGGAAACCAGTGCCAGTGAGTTTCTATGGTTGAAAGGGATTTGAACCCTGATCTCCTAGGTGTTTCTATGGTTGAACAGAGATTTGAACCCTGATCTCCTAGGCCCCAAGCCAATACTCTACCCTCTACACTAAACTGTCTCTTTGAATTACCACTAGATGAAGGGGATCTGAGGGCAAGGGAAGGGGAAGAGTGGAAAAGCAACATGAAATTTTTCACTTTGTATTCAAAAAAGTTGAAAACTCAACTGCTTTTGCAAACTGTCATTTTGGTGATTTTCTAACTTGGAAATTTTTCTTTCAAGCGTGCTAATTTCTAACCTGCCAATCCTACTAAGGGATGGTAGAATTATGTGACAGCCTTATCTTCCTTTTATCAAATTTCCTTGAATAAAATATGATCACTTATACACAATCATGTTCAGTGTACCAACATTAAAGCACTGGATATATCCAATGTATACAGAACTCAACAGCTGGAGATGTCCACATTTTAAGCATGGAGAGGAGAACAACAAGGAATTCATGATCCTAGGATCAAAACCATTATTTACAGTACGAGACTGGTAATGTTAGATCCATATTGGAGAATAAAGGGGGAAAGAAAGATTTAAACTAGCACACATAGCGCCCTAAGCAGAAAATTGAAAAAAAAATAAGACACAGAGTTAGGAACCCAAATGGGTATGTGGTGGAACTCCTATCTCAAGGCCATTACTTGCTACTTGTTGGAGTGTCGTTCCCCAAGACCATCTTCTACTCAGGCTATTCAGTCTTCCCAGGCTTGACAGTTATGTGTGGTCACCCCAAGAGAAGCCTGGATAATACAACTAGGATAATATAACTCTTTGGTGGTGGCTGTGAAGTTGCGAACACATTGCCTGTACAGTAGATATATGCCAAGCTCCCTTCCTCTTGGCCTTCAGGAAGTGTGTGAAATCTGAGCTTTTTGAGGAGACCTTTAGAAACATCCTCCCCTTATGATTCCCTCACCGTCCCATGGGATTATATCTGAATTCAGTCTGCTGTTGCAAATGTTTTGGGGGGTTTCTTTTTTCTTCTTGTCTTTATGATCTGAGAGTTCCCTACTGTGGGTGGGTATGTGTCTTAATTTGCTGTTAGCTGCCCAGGGCAGTGGCTCGCCATTAGATGGGTGGGATATAAATCTAATAAACAAATAGTTATTACTACCATTCATTTGCACAGTTTCTAACAACTGGCACTTCCCTACCATGAGGCAGAATGCCTACTGGTAGTGTCAACATTCCAAAAGAGACCATTCCTGCTCACTGCAAGCTAAGTTGGCCAGATGCCTTCAAGTGGGATACAGGCCTCCTTCCCACCATGGGAACTAAAGAAAGATCCAACTTCCAGTCCAGTCAGTTTCTGCCCATGGAACAGAGAAAGGATCTTGCCTGTTACCTTAGGGAAGGAAACATCTTTGCCGAGCCCTGTCTATCAAACCTTTACTGTCCTATTTAGAGAGTCTCTAATTAGCAAGATCTCGACTGTACCGTCTCCCACCTGATGGCCTAAACGTAACATGCTTTCTTTATACTGGGATGGTGCAAAGCACACATTTTTATTAAAAAAGGAACCAACTGTATTATCCTGTACATGCTAGGTCCACAGTTCCACTGTCAAGTGACTAAGCTGTGTTTTAAAACAAGATTTGTATTCAAAGAAAACATACATTCACGGCAGAATTCACTTACTGGCAGACTTGGCAAGTGACGTCAGATTGTAGTCCACCTGTGAAGATTTGGTCTATGATGCAGTTACAGTGGTTGGGGTTGTTGGCTTTCTTCCCGTTATCATCCCCTAAATGTTCAGAAAGAAAAGACAGTGTCAAGGCTTCCCAATGGTATTCGCGTATGCACGTAGCAGTATTCACAAATACAGACCATTCTGAGTTTCTGTGATATTTATTATACATTCAGGAAAGTTAAAAGTGTAAAACACAAATACAGGGAAGACTGGAAAACCGAACAGTTAAGTGATAAAATTTCTCCTCACTTATGTTTCCTCAGTACTGAGCTGGCTGAATGCAGGATGCTGTAAATGTACTGTAGCTGAGCCCTGCCGTTGGTAATGTTGGGTAATAATCTATTATTATGAACCATGACTGTGGCTTTGCTTGCTCTACTCCAAGAACTGCTTCTAGGTGGTTAGCCAAAATGACTACTTAACCTTGTTTAAGAGGGCCAGTGAGCAACTCATGGAGTTAAAAAAGCAAACCAGCCTTTCCAGGCAAAATGGTCCTTTTTATCCACTTAAGAAAATCACACATGCAATCATCTGTACTACCTAAGTGAAACTGCTGAAGGCAGGTTAAATAGGCAAGAAGGTATCAGCAATTTAAAACATTTTATTACACTGCAGGGTAATTCAGTTATGCCTAACATGACCAGTAAGCAAAGCTGAGTCCAACTGTAACAACAAATGATACTGTAACTTCGCTATTAATTCTAGCTGAACTAGTTAACTAGAGTTGTCAATCAGCTTCCAATCTAGTAAAGCACACGTTCAAGTTAATTTCAACCACAGCTAAAGTCAATGTCAACGCACATTTCTATCAATCTTAAGATTGAAATAGGAGACAATACATTAAACAGTAGTTAAAGCTATCGAGGTTCTTGCCTTATCAGGATTTGAAGCTGGGCAACAATCCTGGATAAGTAGGAAACCTAACTAGCCTTAACTATGATTAACATCTGCCATGAAATACTCCTAACCCAACTGTAAGGTAGGCTGAGGAAAAACACTCGAGGGAAAACGCAAGAGCTCCAAGTATTGTACAACACCCAAAAATAGCTAACCGAAAACCAGGTAACTAAACAGAATAATAGCTATGGCTTCAATTCCTAATTAATATAGTACCACCAAATTAAACTCTCAGGATTCTGCATGTAAAGGTAACACAGGCTAATGTTTTAAAATGTCTGCAGATATATTATGTAAACTTTCCAATTTCTCACTTGGAAGCTGTATCTTTAAATACAATCATTTTTTTCCCTGTGCTTCAATTGAACTCTCATACAGTAAAGCAAACTATGTCTCAAAACTATGAAAAGACAATCCAGATCTCAACAGCCAGCCACAAAATCAGGTTTTATTAAGGACAGCATTCTCCCTGCTAAACTACTATATGGCAAGTAGACTTCAGCCAATGCAAGAAGGAGAAGCTAATACTTTTCTGTAACAAACTCCAAAGGAAAGGTGTGGTGGTTTCATAGTGGCTTAAAAACCTTGTTAGGTTATAAGTGCCAAAAAACTACATGACACTGCCTTGGACTGCATTCTTTTTAAATGTGAAATGCTAAACTTACATAGCATTCACTAGTGAACTGTTTAACCGTGGAACAATGGTCTAGCAAAAAAAGATTTAAACTTTCAGTCTTAGTAAAAGAGACCTCACTGAATTGGTAAAACCACAAAATAGTTTCTCTGTCCCTTCTTAAGAAGCCATGCAAAGTTGCATTACTGTGTGCTGTAAACAAAAGTACACAGAGAAAAAGAAGGGGATAGAAAAATATCACCTTACTGCTTTGATTCCCATCCTTTCATCCAATGCAATTTCAAAACTTAATGATGGCTTTTGTCCATTACTTAAGATGCCCCATTTTGATTCTGCTTCAGTGCAAAGGAACAAGATTTAATCCATGATTTAATCTTGCATCTAAAAAGCATTTCTTTCTTCTTGGGTTTTGTCATCTCCACAGAAGCCAACAAATGGCCTCTTCGCGATTCCACTGGCCTCCAGGTAACATCCCTGCTGGATATTCTTAATAGACAGCCATTTCTGCCCACAGGAGGATAAGGCTGCTCCCTTTTCAATTACCCAAGTCAATTAGCCTCAGTAAGGAGGGGGGTCTCAAAAGACTATTCTATAAGCTTGCTCAAAGCAACACAGAAAGGTATTACCCACTCACTGGGCTTTCCGTGACATCTGGCAGGAAAGGCAGAAAAATGAAATTACCACCTACTTGCACCTGTCAATATGTAAAGCAGCAGCAGCAACAACAAGGGAAAAAGAGCATTATGCAGCAGAAAAAGAGTTTCTTGTTATAGTTGCAGGTGTGAGCAAAACTTCTATTGGTTTAGAAGACTGCTGTTTAAGGGAAAATGCTGCATTGTGTGTGCTAATACATGTTTTGATGGTATTCAAATATAAAGAGTGCACCTTATCAGTAAGGTGATACTTCAAAATGAAATTACCACCTACTTGCACCTGTAAATATGTAAAGCAGCAGCAACAACAACAAGGGAAAAAGAGCATTGCAGCAGAAAAAGAGTTTTTTGTATAAGGTGATACTTCTGTATCACTTAAGGCTGATACAAAAGTATCACCTTACTGATGAACCTTAAAACTCTGTGTACAGTGAGTTCTTGACTTGAGAACTCAATCCGTATTGGAAGGCGGTTCTCAAGTCAAAAAATCTGTAAGTCAAGTCTCCATTGACCTACAGTGCATTGAAAACCGATTAATCCCGTAACAGGCCGTTTTTGTTCCATTTTGGTTTTTTTCTGGTCTGTAAGTCAAATCTCAGTCTGCAAGTCAAACCTAAATTTTGCGGCCAGAGAAGTCTGTAACTCAAAAAGTCTGTAAGTCAAGCCATCTGTAAGTCAAGGGTCCGCTGTATCCACAAGAGGAGGCTAAGTAGAACCAACTCAAAATTTCTTTATTTTGGAACGATGTCTGTGATAAAAATGTGTGCATTATCTTGTGATAAAAATGTATGTATTATCTTAAAAAACCAACCAACCTGGCGACAGCTTCCAGAAGAGTAATAAATAATATGCCACATATCTGCTGGAGTGGATTCACAAAAGCTTCCACCATAATGAATTTGTTCATCTTTCAAAAAGCCATCCACCACACATTTTGTGTTCATTTTTTGCTGCTTGGATACGTAAAACCAGTAAAAATAGGCACAGAGAACTCACAATGGCTTTTACCCTTTTAATAGGGCTTAACAGAAAAAAGCTTCTTGTATACAGGAGAAAAAGAGATGGGAACGACATTAAGACCTGAATTCGTCTTCACTGCAAAGTTGCCCAAGTGGGTCCAACATGTCATAGAAGAAGACTTACCTTTGCAGTGTCGATGCAGCACATCTAATGCAGCAATGAGGAATTCGTGCGCATCTTGTTGTTCGTACCCTGCTAAATGCCGTGCATGCGTCCATACCAGGTGCAATAACCTATATGGAATGTGAGGAGACCGGTGCCCAGAGTAGAACTGCTTGGGAGATGGGTGGGTGAAAAACAAAATAAAACAGTCAAGTATTTTTCAGTTCTACAGAAAGCAAAGCAAAAAAATAAAAATACACAAAACACTTGACAGTTTAATGATGCTGCAGATTTTCAAGAGAAAAATGCTCCACTGCTTCAAAATAGAATATAGTGGATACCAGTTGTGTGTGCTTTTTCATATCATGGAGATACAGTTCAGTATGAAAATGGCACAAAAGCATGGGAAACTGTTGTGTATGATACCTAAAGAAAGCCACAGTCTCTATGCACAAGATAGGAATCCTTTCCTACATCACCGTCTATAAAATCCCTACTATTCTGAATGGGATACTGGAGTTTGCTCTTATTTCATTCTTTGACCTTATTCTTTGGTGGGAGAGGTCCAACTCAGGAACTGGATCACATCTTGTTCAGCCATCAGAGGAGGGCCTTCCTGGCTTGCCATTTTGTTTGTGTGTGTACGTGCACATATCATCATGGGCTTAAGACGATCAGGTTTCCCCCTTGCTGATACATTTGGCTTGAAACTACAAGCACTGCAACCATGAACAAATACCTTCTATATACAAAGGATCAACAGGCAACTCTCAGATGCCAACGTGAAGGACATCAAGGGACCAGAGCCTAGGCAGGGTAACAAACACACAGCTGCTGTGGTGATGTATTTCAGGGAACTGCAATAATATAACTTCTCTGTTCTGTCATTTTTTTACAGCTAGGCTTGGCACAATCTGGACACTCTACCCAGCAACACTTTCCATAATTATCTCCACTGCTGCCACCTGATTTTTGACTATTCTTGTTTTCTTTTATTGCTTTGTTAGGACAGAAAAGACTTGAAAGCAGCAGTTCTCTCAAACCAATGGTTGTTACCATGTAGATGGTGCAAAAACAAAGGGCAAGCCATGCAATATGCTAAGCAATACTGCTTCTCCATTTCGTTTAGGTCCTGCTAAAGGACCTGGAGGTATGCCATTGCCGATGTGCATTCTTTTCAGCAGATAAAAGACGCTCAGAGGCGAAACAGACCTCTGAAGGATAACACTGATCTAATCCTTTGATTTAAGAAAAGCAATATGATAGAGAAAATGGAAGGGAGGGGGTCCCACAGATTGGTTAATATACTGTACACAGATATACAGCCCACCTCGATATCTCCATCTATGAGGAAGACTACGATTAGTAGTAATCTGGTAAGCTGTGTTTAGTTTACATTAAAAGTCTGAATATTTCCTGACAATATAAACTAAGCCGTAATACACTGCAGCCAGCAGGATAAAAACCTTAGAAGAGATCCTGGAAAATCCTATACCTAAACCTGAGTCCTAATCTCTATATCTACTTGGGGAGAGGGGATCGATTTTTTCCCCCTGTTAGGCATCATTGTTCATCTTCAGGTAAATGTCAAGCTCAAAATGGAGACTGGGTAAAGGGGGCCTTTTCTACTGTTTAAGGCTGGATGGAGAGATTCACTCCAGGGAAGACAGACGGGCTGCAACCTGCTCTTGTTTTTTTTTTTTTTTTTTTTTAAAGCACAAAGAAAATATGTGCCTTCTTACATCTTTAGCAAGCCCCGGTAGAATTAGAGACATAAAAAGGGTGAGAACACCATGTAATCCAAATTGCTGTTCCAAGACCAGACCTTCCATAAACAGAATACAGTGGTGCCTCACTAGACGATGATAATCCGTTCCACTGAAATCGCTGTTTAGTGAAATCATTGTCTAGCGAAAAGCATTTCCCTATTGGAATGCTTTGAAACCTGTTTAATGTGTTCCAATGGGGAAGAATCGTCGTTGTCTAGCGAATATCGGCCATAGTAAAGCCGCTTTGCGAAATGCCAATCAGCTGTTTAAATAGCTGTCTTGCAAAGCTTGGGAGCTGTCAAAATCGTCTAGCGAAAATCTGTTTGCAAAGCAGGGACCAAACACTGTCCAGCGAAATTCCCCCATAGGAATCACTGTTTTGCGAATCCCTATAACGATAGCAAAAAATCGATGTCTAGCGAAAAAACTGTCATGCGAAGTAACTGTCTAGCAAGGCACCACTGTATCTGTAACTGAACTGCCAAGATGCAAACCCCACCCCACCCCGGGCATTAGGCAGAGAACTGAAGCTGCCTGGGTAATCTCTCCTGTCAAAGCAAGACCTCCTCTATATGTATGTCTACTCCAAATTGCTAGCCACCACCAAATCTTGTGCAAGAAAATCCCAACATTTAACTATGCACACAGTAGAGCAGGCCTGCCTTTAATCGCTCCTCAATCATCTGCCATTCAGCTTCATGTCCTGTTACTCATCTTGCTATTGCTTGGCAATGTGGTTTTAGGCGTTTTAATCACTTTGAGCTACCTTGGATCCCCTCATAGGGGGAAAGGTAGCATACAAATGAAACAAACAAGCCAAACAGGTTAATCATGTATCTCTACACATTTAGCCATAGATGAAAACTAGCCATAAAGAAGAGTGAACAAAGCATGACTTGAAATGGATCTATAAACCATGTTAAGTGTTGCATTTACAATGAATGCATTGTAACTGAGACATCTTTGCTGCCCTGCTAACCACTCTGCTAATTAGAAGATTATGTCTTAAGTATTATCAACGCCTCCTCATTTGTAACTTCCATGTTAAAGGTAGAAAAACTTTCACTGTATGCCTGGAATTTTAACCCGGGGGCTGGGAACCATTTTCTTATGAAGTGTAGCAGACTCAGTGGACTGTATGTCAACTGAAAATCATAGATAATGGTGGGTAGACCAGAATCTCTAGCTTTGGAAAGGGTTAACACTGCATACCCTGTTTCCCCGAAAATAAGACCTAACCTAAAAATAAACCTTAGTAGGATTTTTCAGGATGCTTGTAATATAAGCCCTACCCCAAAAATAAGCCCTAGTTAAGTGAAACCCCACCCTCCACCATCACGCAGCAACCATGACTGTATTTGAATAAATGTAGAGTGTTGTGCATGAAAAAAATAAAACATCCCCTGAAGCAAAAATTGGAGCAAAAACTAATATAAGACCCTGTCATATTTTCAGTACTAAGAAATTATGGATCTTGCCTCACTGTACACAAGTCATGAGATGTCTTCACATGCCGCTCTTGAGGTCCCTGGAAGTCATGGATAAGGACAGACTATCCATCATTACTGTTACAGTGATGTGCTGTCCAATCACTTCTATCCTATGGATGAGGAAACTCTGCAAGGTCCTGTTATCAACCGTCAGCTGCAAACTCAATCCACCTCTAATTTGATTTGCCTCTTTTTTCTGTTGTCACCCAGTTTTCCCAGCACTGCCTTTTCCAGCAAATTTTCTTCTCATCATGTCCCCAAAGCACGAGAGCCTCGGTGTTACCAGGTTTGCTTCCAGGGAGAGCTGAAGTTTGATTTGATCCAACTGTTGCTAGTTTTTATTTACTTCTACCCTTCATACATTCTCCTGGCATTATTCAGTTTTCAGGCTTTTAAAGGTCTTTTTTGTGTGAGTAGGATTAGAAATCATTTTTAGCTGGCTTGAATCAGAGTTTCAATTGTGCATTCCTTATGCAGAAAATCATTACTGCATATAGCATCAATGCCACTCTTTAATCTAGAGGTTATGCCACCCACTATCTACATGTGTGCAGAATCTGACAAGTACAGTTTTTGACTAGGTGTTTTATATTTGCCAATAAAGGTTTTTGATTGATTGATTGATTGACATATATATTAATGTTTCTATGATACAGAAAACCAATGGGATAAAATATGCATTTATAAAGGCACACATTTTTAACTGGAAAAATAAATTCTATAATAAATTTAAAAGTTGCCATTTGCAAAGCTATCAGCATTACAAGCAATCCTATAAGATAAAGTAGAACTCCCACACAAAATACGTAATGGTGGTAAGTAATAGTAAACTCTTCTTATTTCTCTCTGTAGATGGAGGTCAACACTGGGCAAAAACAACTTTTAAAATTTATAACTAATGAAAAACTACTGAAACAAACAGATGCTCTGCCATACCTTATACAAGAGTTTAGACACTAATAGAATTTCATGCGGTTATGACGCATGTCAAAAATATACCTCCACAATTATGAGAGCACATCAAGGTCAGTTTATGTTACATCTTGATATTTTAAGTGGCAAACCAGTGTTTGTGATCAGTCAGTAAATTCTAATCATGGTCATTTTCAAAGTAATACTGCTGCTTTGAGTTTGAGTTGACAAGACACAACAAGGAAGGAAGGAAGGAAGGAAGGAAGGAAGGAAGAGTTCTAAATTTTAGCTTTCCAGACACATATTTCAAATTTTAAAACCATGACTTGCTTCAACTTTCAACTAAAACCAGTAGAAATCAAGTTGGTGTAAGAATCTAAAAAATAGTCCAGAGTGTTCTAAAATGTAAAGGAGGAAAATTCCACTTTAAATTAATAGATAAAGGGAAAGGATGACTCACCTCCTGAAAAAGCGTAGACATTTCACAGACCAGACATGAGCTGGGGCTTTGCATTTCACATTTATGTCTGTCAGAGAGGAAAAAGTCTCGCAGCAGTGGAGTGTGGGTAAGTGCTTGGACAATACAGTTCATAAAACATGTGTTCCCAAGATTGATTAGCCCTCTTAGACCTATTAAAAAAGCAAAAAGAAAAAACAAACATAAGAACAAGGAGCATTAACATGGTCTAGTTTTAATGAACTGTAATTTGCTTCAGCTACCACCCCCACCTTCACCCCAAAGATAACAACATTCAATTCACACACAGTTGCAAACTGAGAAATGCTAGTGAGGTAGATTATACTGTCCCAATGAATCCAGAGGTAGCATCCCTTCCACAGGGTGTCTTAAGTTTTGTCTTTTAAAAAGATACGTAAAAACATTCACACTTTTTCCACAGCAAAAAAATACCAATATGAAACATTTCAAAAATTGTGAATGCCTCATGTATCGCATGTTTCATCTTCTGCCTTCTTCAGATACTCTGCTAAAAGTACTTTACAAAAAATAATGAGCAACTAAAGAAGGTGACCAAAATGTTTTCCTTAAATATTCTGTTTGTTAGTCACTATATACAATGTATGTTACAATGTACTCAAATATTGCAAAAGTCTGAATACAGCACATCTCCCGCGGTTGTATAAATGCCCTGTATGGCATCCAGACATAGGTCTTCTTGCTAAAAAATGTTATAAGCAGCAGTATCTGGTTGCTACTGAACAAGGTTGCTGATATTGCCCATTATAAACAACAATACTCTCAGCATTAGTGTTTCTCAAACATTTATCAGTATGTGTTACTTTAAATAAAAAAATATGAGCCTTTTACAAATACAGTAGTTGAACATAGTTTTCCTAGAACAATATGCTAGGAATTGACTGTCTCCCCATTTGGCAACTACTACCAGCCCACCTTTTATCATCATGAACATATAACCAATGTTTCAGAAATCAGAAACAAGGAAAGTATATTTTCCTGAATTAGGAGCCGAGAACTGTAATTGGAACACAGTCTACTGCTCAAAGGAATATCGCCCAAACTCCAGGGGCTGCATGCAGAGCAATGCGAGTGAACTTGCCAGCAATATACCAGATGCCTGCACACAATAATATCGTGTGCTCCTATGTCGAGTTGTATGCCACAATCATGCTTCTGGAAATGGGGTTCACCATGCTAATGTCACATTGGGGTGGGTCGGGACATATTCACTTTCACTGCTATCCTTTTTTTTTCAAAGTACACCAAGTACCAGACTCTTACAAAATCCTAGTATAATAGAAGTTGCAAAAAATTGTCAGGATACGGAGTTCATTAAGGTTTTGCCCAGAATATCAATGTACACCAGTAGGAAGCAGTTGAGAATAAACTATTTTTTTCAAGTACTGTACAAAGCTACTTCTCTCTGCCTTGCACCTGGGAAAAGAGGAGCAGGTGTCAAACCCAGACACCTATCACCTAATTACATTCTTCAACACCAATGAATCTCAAACAAGGGTACCTTCAGTCTATATCATAAAAAAGGATTTGGATTTTAGCCTCACCCAGTGTCTCCCCATGAGTGTTCTAAGAGTAACTGCTTATAAAGGAGATGGATAATTGCTTCATTTTCACCTTTCACCACAAGTAAACAGGGTACAATATTTATGTGGGATCTGATATATTTAGAACAGAAGTCTCAAGGGCTGATTTCCCATTTCCTGGACCACTGGATATCACAACAGCCGGGGGGCACGGGGGAGTTGCTGCAAGTTCACTTCTGGCTTCGTTTTTGTGGATTTGGGTTTTGGTGTATTGACATCCCACTTTATTGCAAGACCATTAGAAAATATCTCTTTGTTTTGTCCTCCTCGCTGAGCAGCATTTGTGAACCGCAAACATGGCCTTTGGTACTTCAGACAGCTCCTGGGTTGCACTTCGTGCAGCACCACTTTGGAACTATTATTTAAACACTCAGCTGACAGCTCTCCAGCCCACCCGGGCTCACACTCGTTGTTGGTCCATGCAACCGTCTAATGAGATTAATGTCACCTTCTAGAACAACTGAGGATGTTCCTGGAGATAGAACGATCAGGTGGAGGTTGACACACTCCCACCACTTCATAATCATATAACATGGTAAACAATGCCAAGATTGTTCCAAATACGAACAGCCCTTGTGACGCACGAGGCTGCTTTAAGAACCTTTCAGATAGCTTCCCCATAAGGGTGTGTGGTGCTGTTGCTAGGCTACAGCAGACGAAGAGGAGCAAATCATTGTGCAGGGCAGCATATTGAGTTTCAGCAGACAAATATTCAAATCTTCCTCAAAAACATCAGCATTGACACAATACTGCCATCCATTCCAACTGAACTGACAAAGTCACTTAGTTTAACAGATCAGTCCTTTTTTAAAAAACTAGTTCATTTTAAGTAGTTCATTGCATTATTTACTCCACTCTTCACTGAAAAAAGCTGCACTTACCCTTTGTTTATGAGTTAATTTCTCACTGCAATATATAGCACAATCAGTCCTGCAAACTATGCAGTATTTAGCTCATGTGTGTTGTGTGCCATTATTCTAGAAAAGTATAATAATATGTCTCAGGGTTTTGTACATACATTACATTGGCTCTCGGCACAATATAGTTTATGGCTCAGGACTGGTTTCCGTATTATCTCTCCCACAGAAACAACTGAAGGAGATGTTTCCTTTTGGCAACTTTTCTGTTCCAATTATTATTTAGAGATAATACAGTTCTATCACTAAACCATACCATCTTCTCAAAGCTTGAGGGACCTGCCTGCAGCTTCCACTCAGGTAGACAACACAATGGAAATGTGGAGTGAAAGTTGTGGCTCTTTTTACGTTCTTCTCCTTGGGCAGGAAGACCATGGTGGAACTTATCTTTTTTGGGGGGGGGGCTCTGAGCAGCACAAAACACCCTACCAGGTGTATAATTATGGGTAACACCTTTTTGGGGGGGGGGGGCTCTGAGCAGCACATAACACCCTACCAGGTGTATATTTATGGGTAACACCTTGTAGTATGCAGGACCTTTAAGAGACAAGCTTAAACAGACGGTACCTCACCTTTATGAACAAGTATAGTTCCCCAGAAATCCAACTAGAAACAGGCAGGGAGAGAATGGTGGCCGGCTTTGTATAATGTATAATTTATACACTCCTGCTTGCTCAATTCATATGTAGATTTGCAGGGAGGAGCAACCTTGCTATGTTATTTAAAGGCAAATAAACTCCCTTAAGATAAAATATCTTCAATTTAAAGCAAAAAGTGTATGACTGAAGTAATACTTCCATAAGCAAAGAAAATTCAGACCACAGATAAATCTTGCATCCTCACTGAAAGCATAAGTACACTGGTGTTTTTGTGCCCTAAAAGGTACCCAAGCGAACACAAAAAAAGAGTTCCATTCTTTGATTCCCAGCAGAAAGAGGAAAAATAAACCCTCTGCTCACATAGGACAAAATCCAGTAAATACAACAAGACCTCCCTCCCTCATCTACATTAGCTGGGCAGTGCTAGTAAAAATTAGGTAATTGTAAAGAGGCCTATGCTACAAATCAACAGTTTTTAGACACTGACATAATCAAAGCCTGTGTTTCCTTTCCACTCTTCCACTCTACTAGTGATGTGATGTGGCTGATAAAACGATGCTGCTGTTACAGAAGTGTTTGCACTTGTGTGTTCATGCTGTGAGTGAGGAAGAGCCTTGATCCGTGGTCCAAGTCTGCTTAATTTGGGCCATGTAGCATCAACCATAACTTCCTCTTTGAAAGGTCACCCACCACCAGCAACAATCTCACTTTAGGAAATACATAAATTAGGGGGAGGGAGTAGGTAGCAGTTTACATAGGACAAGTCATTTCTGAACAGAAAAAAGGCATGAGGTGGGGAAAGAAATAGTACTGAACTCAATAGAAACACTATTTTTTCCACACAGAAATATACAATATGCAAATCAAGCATAATTCCATCATTTTGGTGTACATCCATCTCCTGGAAAACAGATTGGATAATTAGGATTGAAGGAATCCATGGGGCAGTGTGTGACACAGTACTGAAGAGGTCAAACAGTCAGAGGATTTATGTAAAAAGAAAAAAAAGTCTCAGGGGTTTTTAGAACCCACTGCTTTACCCTCCCCCCCTTACAGCAATGAAACAGTGTTATTATTTCTTGCTTTTAAAGCATCTTCCCCAGCAGAAAAGAGAAAACTAAGGGACTCTAAGAAATAGAAAATTATGGCAGATTAAGAGTCCAGTAAAATTACCCTGAGGAGAGGGAGGGAAAAAACAACAAATCATCATTTTTTTTCAAGGATTCTCTAAAGTATGCACATTTACATGGGTTTTCTTCACAGGTGGTTAAAAATAAGATACAAGACTACAACAAAGTCTCAACAAACTACAAAGCCAGCTTTCATTTACCACCACTAAGATTTTCAGAATTTGTTTTTCATGGCTGCACGCCACACTGCCACCATACAGTAATCTAAATAAACTGGAAATAAGGAAAACACACACGGAGAGGTTTGAGCATTTTTTATTGAACACTACTTCCTATATATGGCGTTTGCTAAGCCTGCTTTGGCGCTGGTTTCTCTTCTCAGTATAGGTCCCATCAAATTTACTTATTCATACCATGTTTGAATTCTAACGGACATTTACAATATCACGTTATGATTTAATCTTGTAATAATCCTGTATAGCAGGTCACTATTATTCTATTGCAGCAAAGGTCAAAATTCCAGATGCTACAGCTGGAAGTGTTCCAGATGTTGACAAAATAATCGTCCCATCGTGTCATAGAACTGGTCAGGCTGGTGAGGGTTGATAGGAAGTGGCATTTAACACTGCTTGTGAAGGCCACAACATCCCCAGCCCTGTGTTACAGGTTAAAGAGCAACACATCTATACAGACGTCTGTGGTTTTAGTTGTGGTTTCAATGAAGTTCCAGGTTCTAGCACAGTCTGATGAAAACACTATTTCGAATTTGCTAGGACATATAGGTTTAGTTGCAGCTTGGTAACTATAACAATAGTTAGCCTGCCTGTAAAAAGTAATTTGGTGTTCAATGGGTGTGTAGAGTGGCAGCACAGCCGAAGAATTGAAGGCTGACTGCCAAAGAATTG